CCCACGCGCTTCTTCCAGATGAACCCCGGGCTCTCGTGCGACTCCTTGCTGTCGTGCAGCCCCTTGCGGGGGAATGTGATCAGTAGGGTGAGCTGGACGGCTTGCATGTGGGGTGGTTTTTAAGTCGACTCAAAGTCTTCCAGGTGAACCCCGGCCTCTCGTGCGACTCCTTGCTGCCATACAGCCCGCTGCAGGGAAATGTGATGAGTAAGGTGAGCTGGGTTGCACGGCCTGAGTGTGTGAAAGAGAGTGTGTGCAAGAAATTCTGGAAGAGAGTGTGTAAGAAAGTGTGCAAGTTTGTGCAATGCAAAAGACTCTGAGAGAGAGTCCAAGAGAGTGTGCAAGAGTGTGTGAGAGTGTGTGCAAGAGAGAGAGTCTGTGAGAGAGTGTGCAAGAGTGCAAAAAGGTAAGGAAATGGTCTTGGTCTCCCAGAATACCTCCTGCATCCGCCAGCCCACTGCCAAGCAGCCCACACTTGGGCTCCGCACACTAGACGTGGACAAATGACGAGTCGAATTTCACTCGACTAGTTCTGCGAGTCCTTTTCTTGGCCCAGAGTCGAGTCGAGTCCATTAAAACTTCGAGTTTTTTCGACTTAGGGGCGACTCTTAACTCAACCAAGGGGTTGAGGGTGTGAGCAGTAGATGAGTGGGCTGCAAGAAATCCGTTTCTGGTAGTAGTTTCAGGCAGTGACATGCCAGATTCTTGAGTCAAGATTCTTGAGTCAACTCAAAATTAGATTCTTGAGTCGAGATTCTTGAGTCGACTCAAAACTCGTTTCTGGGAGTAGTTTCAGGCAGTGACATGCAAGATTCTGTCAGAAACGGTGGGAGCTGGTTGCACTTATGTGCTTCACAGCCGGCTAGAATGTGTGTGCGCGCATGCATGTCCGTCCGTCCGTCCGTCTGTGTGTCGGTCCGTGTGCCTGTCTGTGTGTCTGTCTGTGCGATTGTCTGGGCGTCTGTCTCTGTGTGTATCTGTCTGTGTGTGTCTCTGTGCGTCTGTCCGTGTGTCTGTCTATGTGTTTCTGTGTGTGTGTGTCTGTCTGTGTGTTTGTCTGTGTGTCTTTCCGTGTGTTTGTCTGTGTCTGTGTGTTTGTCTGTCTGTCTGTATGTCTGTCTGGGTGTATGTACTGCATGAATGTGAACTTATGCAGGTCTTGTTCTTCCCCTTGTTGTACTGATGGTTGAGTTGACTCGCAGGTTTGTGTGGCTGCTATTGATGCCCGGCCGTTGTCTGGCATTTCATGTTCCACCAAGAGAACATACAGTGTGAAGCGAGGAGACACATGCGGCATGTTGATCGCTAAGAAATACCGCCGCAGTACTGACAAGTTTAGGGAGCTTAACAATGGATATGATTGCACTGTAAGTAGGTTGTGGATTGGCATGTTGCTTTGCTTACCTGTATAAATGGAAAACTTCGAAGGCAAATTGCTTCTCATGCCACTGTATACGCTCCCAACGAAGGTGGTCTCATGATTGTTAGTTATGGAGAATGCCCTTATGCATCTCTGAGAGTAACAGGAAGCTCACTCACTACGGTTGTTTGCTTTGGAGGATGAAGTTTGTTTTTGGTGATTGCTTTGCAGTGTATACAAATTTTAGGGCTTTTTGTCTGGGGTGTGGGCTGATTCATCAGTCTACTACCGTACCATCTGACTGCATCGAACCTGGACCCTACATGATTTGTTGTGAGGATTATACAAAACTTCCACCTTCAATCAAAACATCCTCTGGGGACACTCATGGATCAGGGTGACTCAAACCAAACTGAACCCAGACTGAAAGCTTATGGACCAATTCAATCTTCTTCAACATGTCATATTGGAAAAATGCAACTTCACCTCGACCCCACTGTTAGCTTCATGCCATGCTTGCCACAGTCCTTCCCAACCGTGCTAACAAACAGCTGCCGTGCTCCAACAGTGAAAGACTTTCTAGCCTTGCGCGTGGGCTTCACGTGCACCTTGGAAACTGCCTTGATATCACAGGCATCAAAAGCAGCAGTGCTTGATACCTCCGCCAGGTGGTGCCTGCGGCCAAAGGTAGGGCCCAAGAAGCGACCACCCCACTGAAAGACTGTAGGCAGACGGGTTCATATGAGAGAGCGAGAGAGAGAGAGAGAGAGATTTGTATATGAGAGAGAGAGAGAGAGAGGCATTTTGAGTCGACTCAAAGCAGTGCTTGATACCTCCGCCAGGCTGTGCCTGCGGCCAAAGGTAGAGCCCAAGAAGCGACCACCCCACTGAAAGACTGTAGGCAGACGGGGTCAAGAGACGGATGTGAGTGAGAGATGCAGGAAGGAGACATGCACCAGGAGGAACAAAGCTGGGTTAGAGAGTGGATTTTTTAGTCGAATCAAAAATCGGATATGAGTGAGAGATGGAGGAAGGAGACATGCACCCGGAAGAAGAAAGCTGGGTTAGAGAGTGCCAAATCTCTGTTGCATGTAGCAGACAGTGTTCTTGGTGAAGGTAGCAGCAACCAGTTGCAGGTGATCAAGCAAGCAAGAGATAGTCCCAAGGTGTGATGTAGGAAGAAAAACGCATGATTGCAACGGGTGGCAAAAGGTCACTTGGGTTAAGCAGCGAGTAAGGATCGATGGGAGAATACAAGATTCAAAAAAGCCTCTTAGTGCCTGATGCCTGGAAGACAACACGCACCTACTACACACACCCTTATGCATGTAAGACAACACGCACCTACTACACACACCCTTATGCATGTAAGACAACACGCACCTACTACACACACCCTTATGCATGTAAGACAACACGCACCTACTACACACACCCTTATGCATGTAAGACAACACGCACCTACTACACACACCCTTATGCATGTAAGACAACACGCACCTACTACACACACCCTTATGTGAGAAGAAAAGTTAGAAGAGAAGTTGATGGATTGATTGAAAGGATGGGGGGTTTACATAGGAGATGAGTTGGAAACTAGCCTAGGTGAACATTATTGGACCCCAACCAAGGAGTTGGGTTGGGAGATTATTGGTGGGGTCCAATAATGTTGGCCAAGTTGGAGTTGGGCCAACATTATTGGAGGGGACCAATAATTCTACCCATCCCAACCCTTGGGGTCCAATAATTGGACCAAGGTTGGGTTTCCAACCTACAAATTGGGTAACCCCTGCTTGTACACCCAAACTAAGTTTGGGTGCTTATCTCTAGCCTATCCTATAGCATATATGCAGGTTACAAGAGAGGAGATATTCTAACACAACCCCTTAACCTGCAGAGATGCGGAAAGGCTGGAGAGAAGCAACCCCTGAATCAAGGCGCGCCTGGGGGAGCGAGGCCAATGAGGCGGAGGAGAGCAGAGTGCGCGGGGCGAAGAAGTGCTTTGGTGAAGATATCCGCCAAATTGGCTTCAGTGGCGATCTTGCGGACGGCGATAAGATTCTGTCGGACGAGGTCGCGGATGAAGAAATAACGGAGCTCGATATGCTTGGAGCGACCATGAAAGACTGGATCCTGGGTGAGGTGGATGGTGCTGGCGTTGTCACACCAGAGCGTGGGACAGCGCTGGGGGGCACCAAGCTCTGCCAGAAGAAAGCAGAGCCAGCGGGACTCTTGAGCGGCCATGGTGCCCGCATAGAGCTCAGCTTCGCAGGAAGAGAGAGCGATGGCTGAGGAGCGGGTGGAACGCCAGCTGATAAGTCCGCTGCCGAGGGTAAAGCCATAGCCTTGGGAGGAGCGGCGGTCTGGCTGATTGTCTGCCCAAGAGGAGTCACTGAAGCCCGAGAGAAGGGGAGGGGAGGATCCACCCAGTGTGAGAGCGTGATCCTTGGTGCCGCAGAGATAGCGAAGGACCCGCTTGGCGGCAGCCCAGTGTTCCTCAGTGTGACGGCCAGAGCCGACGAACCGAGCAAGGACGCTGACGGGGTAGGCGAGGTCGGGGCGGGTGCACATCATCGCGTACATCAGCGACCCAACGAGCTCGGCGTAGGGCCGGGAGGAGGAGGAGGGGGAGGTGGGTGGCGCAAGTTGGTGACCGAAGGGGAGGGGGGTGGAGACTGGTTTGGCCTGCGCCATCTCAAACTTCTCCAGGACCTGGCCGATGTAGTGGGACTGGGAGAGAGTGATGGTGCGGGCGGATCGATCACGGGTGATAGCCATGCCGAGGTAGTTCTGGAGGGGACCAAGGTCCTTGCACTTGAGTCGTTCCTGAAGTGACCGCTTCATCTGGTCCATGTCGGCCCTGGAGTCCGCCAGCAGGATCATGTCGTCAACGTAGACCGAGATGAAAAAGCGACTGGGGGAAGAGCGGATGAAGAGGCTGGCGTCGGAGTGGGAGGGGGAGAAGCCAAGGGACTGGAGAGTAGCAGACAGCTTCGCATGCCATTCTCGTGGTGCCTGCTTCAGGCCGTAGACCGGTCGCTTCAGCTGCCAGACGGTGTTGTCGGGGAACGTAGCATGGAACCCGGGAGGTCGGCGGAGAAAGATGCGTTCGTGCAGTTCACCTTGCAGGAAAGCGTTGGAGACGTCCATGGAGTCAATCTCCATGTCGTCTCTTGCACCGATGTCAAGAAGGGTGCGTAGGGTGGCCTGCTTGACGGTGGGGGCGAACGTGAACCAGTAGTCCTCAGCCCAGGTCTGGGTGAACCCCTTGGCAACGTAGCGGGCTTTGTAGACTGGTTCTTCTCCCGGCAGCTGCTTGACTCGAAAGATCCACTTGCCCTCAACCAGGTTGGCGTCAGGAGGGAGGGGAACGTCAATGAAGGAGTTATTGTGGATGAATGCTTCACATTCCTGAAAGATGGCGGCTATCCACTTATCGGCGTCAGGGCAGGTGATAGCCTCTTGGAAAGTGGAGGGGACGAAGATGGTGGGAGCGGGGATCGCGCTAAGGAGTAGGGCGCCGAGGAGGTCAGGGGAAAGTACTGTGAGAGAGGGAGTGTGGCGCCGGACCATGGTGAACTCCTCATGGGAGTCCTCCAGTTGGTTGAGGGAGGGAGGAGACGGTGCACCAAGGATGGGGTCAAGGGAGCGGGTGTGCATGCGAGGGAGGAGGAAGGGTGAGGAGCGGGCAATTGCCCTGCGCCGCTGCTGCTGCTGGTGCTGCTGGAACCCCTGCTGCTGCTGCGGCTGCTGCCCCTGCTGCTGCTGCTGCTGCGGCTGCTGTTGCTGTTGTGGCTGCTGCGGCTGCTGCTGCTGCCGCTGCTGGTGCTGCCCTTGCTGCTGCTGCGGCTGCTGCTGCTGCTGCTGCTGCTGCTGCTGCTGCTGCTGCTGCTGCTGCTGCTGCTGCTGCTGCTGCTGCTGCTGCTGCTGCTGTGATGGATGAGGAGGGGAGTGGGAAGGGGAGGGGGGAGGGGGAGCCGTGGAGTGTGCGGGGGAGGCAGGAGCAGTGGGATCGTAGACGTCGGCGGATGAAGGTGGCGGAAGCGGGGTGGGGAGGGGTGGGAGAAGAGGTGCCGGAGGGAGGAGGGGAGGGAGGACGGTGTCGGCCCAAGCGAGAGGACGTGTGGGAGGAGGGAGGGGGTCCGGTGGTGGGGAGGAGTAGTACGGGGTGGTCTCATCGAACACAACGTCAATGCTGCGGATGAGGCGACCAGAGGGAGGGTGAAGGAAGAGGTAACCAGGCGAGTCGCGGTTGTGTCCGAGGTAGACACACTCGAGGGCGCGAGGAGCGAGCTTGCCTTGGGTGCGGTCGGGTGGAGGAATAAGCACATATGCCTTGCAACCCCAGACACGGAGACCGGCAGCGTCAGGTTTGGTTCCTGACCAGAGCTCCGTGGGGGTAGCGGCAGTGTGTTGGGGATGGGAGTGAAGGTTGAGGAGGAGGGCAGCATGGAGGAGGGCATAGCCCCAGAGAGAGGGAGGGGTGGAGGCGTGAGCAAGGAGACAGCGGGCGATCTTAGTGATTTCGCGAATGCGGCTTTCTGCAACGCCGTTCTGCTGTGGGGAGTGGGGAAGAGTGTGGGTCTGTTGGATGCCATGGGTGGTGCAGTAGTGAGAGAGAGTGCGGTTGAGGAATTCGCCTCCCCCATCAGAGTGGAGGCGGCCGATGGGACGTTTGAAGTGGGTGCGGCATTGCTCTGCCCAGTTAATGATAATGGTCGGCGCCTGGTCTTTGGTGTGGAGGAGGAAAATGGAGGAGTAGCGGCTGTGATCGTCAACAAGAACCAACATGTAGCGATGGCCTTGGCGTGAGCGGGTGGGAGAGGGCCCCCAGAGGTCCATATGGACAAGGTCAATGGGTGCAGGAGCGAAGGATGGGTGGCTGTGGTGAGGAGATTGTTTGAGTTTGCCGTGGATGCAGGAGGGGCATGGGGGGGCTGGGGAGGAGGGAAGGGGAGGAAGCGTTGGAGGGAGGCTGTGAAGAAGTCGTGAGGTGACGGCAGTGCGGAGAGCGGCAAAATTCGGATGGCCGAGTCGGTGATGTAGGAGAACAGCGGGGTGGGAGAGATGGTCGGAGGTGGAGGGGATTGGAATGAGTGAGGAAGGGATGGAGGAGTGGGGAGGAGACGGAGTGGGAGGAGAGGGAGGGAGATGGGGAGGGCTGGTGGAGGTACCCGCACGAGTGGTAACATGGCAGGAGGATGGCCACGGAGTGCGGAGAGTGTAGAGGCAGAGGGGTGCGGAGGAGGAAGGGCGGAGGAAGTGTGGTAAAGGTCACAGTAGGTGGCATTACCAGGATAGACGGCAGTGATACCTGCACCTTGGATTTCACGGTGGGAGAGGAGGTTGTTTCGGAGAGTGGGGATGTGGAGACCAGTTACCTTGCCAGAGGGGAAGAGTGAACAGGGGAGAGTGGAGAGGTGTGTGCATGGGATGGTGAAGCTGCTGTCAGCACCGTGAACTTGAGTGGGAGGGGAGAGGGGTGTGAGTGTACCAGCGTCTTTGAGGGCGGTCTCAGTGGCCCCACTGTCAAGGACAAAGTCCAGAGTGGGTGAGGAGGAGGAGGAAGACACTGAGTACTGGAAAGTGGTTTCATTAATGTTGGATGGGTACATGGAAGGAAGAGAGGGCGAAATAGCTATGTTGCCAAGGAAGCTCTCGTGAGTGAGAGGGGTGGCAGTGCTACTTGGGGGGGGTGGGGCACCCCAAAGGGGGGCAGGTGAGGCTTGAGCGGCCATGGCTGCTGTGCCAAAGTTCAACTGCTGCTGCGGCCAGGGAGGAGGGCTGGGTCCCCACTGTGGCTGGGGTCCTGACCCCCATGGGTGCTGCGGTGTCAACTGAAAACTGCTGGAGGAATATTCCTCCTGGTGTCAGCTAAACCGACCATTGTGATTGCAGGAAGTGGCCCAATGTGCTCAACATTGGATTAGGCTGGAGCCGCGTGCGGGCGCGGCTCCACCTCGTGTCAAGCGCGATTGGCATCTGACACCAATCGCAGATTGACACGAGCCTGGAATGTGCCCTAAACCTGACATGTGTGTCTGCAGGGTGACTCGTGTGACTCCCTCAACGCTCGCTTTTCCACTCGCCTACAGACGCTCAACTCGATTTCCCCAATAACCTCGCATTCTCTTCCCACTCCCTTCTAAACCCATCCTCACATGTGTGCTTGTAGGGTGACTCATGTGACTCCCTCAACGCCCTCTTCTCCACGCACCTACAGCCACTCAACTCGAATCTCCTAATAACCTCGCTTTTGCTTCCCACTCCCTCCCATGTCTGCAGGGTGACACGTGTGACTCCCTCAACGCCCTCTTCTCCACGCGCATTCAGCCACTCAACCCCGCCCTCAGCTGCTCTGATGGGCCCCGACCCGGCCAGGTGGGTTCTGCTGCAGGTGATGAGTGGAGATGAGTGGAGATGAGTGCAGATGAGTGGAGACGGGTGCAGGTGTAAGCAACCCACGTGCTCTGATGGGCCCTGACCCGGCCAGGTGGGTGCATATGATGGGTGCAGATGAGTGCCGATGAGTGCAGGCGGGCGCAGCGCAGGTGGGCGCAGGTGGATGCGGGTGGATGCAAGTAGGTTTAGGTGAGTGTACATTTGTTTATGTGGGTGCAGATGAGTTCAAGTGAGTGTTTCTCCACGCGCATACAGCCGCTCAACCCCGCCCTCACCTGCTCTGATGGGCTTCGGCCCGACCATGTGTGTGCTGCAGTTGCAGATGAACTAGTGCAGGTGCTAATAAGTGCAGGTGCTAATAAGTGCAGGTGCTAATAAGTGCAGGTGCTAATAAGTGCTGGTGCTAATAAGTGCAGGCTAATAAGTGCAGGTGCTAATAAGTGCAGGTGCTAATAAGTGCAGGTGCTAATAAGTGCTGGTGCTAATAAGTGCAGGCTAATAAGTGCAGGTGCTAATAAGTGCAGGTGCTAATAAGTGCAGGTGCTAATAAGTGCTGGTGCTAATAAGTGCAGGCTAATAAGTGCAGGTGCTAATAAGTGCAGGTGCTAATAAGTGCAGGTGCAGATAAATCACTAAAGCCCAAGATGGGCTCCATTGCTCCTGGAAGTTCTTGCATCACATTATATCGCATGCTTGCATCCCGCTTTTGAGAAATCCTCAAAAGCGGCTCTATTGTTTGTGGAAGTTCTCGCATCACATCATATCGCATGCTTGCATCCCGTTGCATCGCATTGCATAACCTCGCACCGCACGCATCGCAACGCGATTCACACAGTTATTCATGCCTTCATTCATCTCAGAACTCGAAGTCCACAGAAAATGGGCATCTATTCACACATTCTTTCCCCCCCTCCTCCCCTCTCTCCCCTCTCCTCTCTCCCCTGTCCCCCCTCCTCTCTCCCCTCTCCCGCCTCCTCCTCTCTCCCCCCTCCCCCTCTCTCCCTCCTCCCTCCCTTCCGCCTCCATCCCTCCTCGCTCCCTCCTCTCTCCCCCCTTCTCCCCATTCCCAGCTCCTCTGTGTGGACTTCAACCGGACGTGGCTAGACTTGGAAAAAACCCGCGTGGCGTGCCAAGTCTCTGCCCTGATCACACATTCCTCTCCTCCCTTCCCCCTTCGGAGCTCCTCTGTGTGGACTTCAACCGGACGTGGCTAGAGCTGGCGAAAACCCGCGTGGCATGCCGAGTCTCTGCCCAACTCACCCATTCCTCTCCACCCCTCTCCCCCATCTCGTCTCTCCCTCCTCCCTCTCCCCTCTTCTCCCTCCCCCACAGCTCCTCTGTGTTGACTTCAACCGCACGTGGCTAGACTTGGAAAGAACCCGCGTGGCATGCCAAGTCTTTGCCCAGATCACCCCAGCCATCACCACACCCCCAGACACACCACCTCCAAGCCCTCAACCACCCCCTCCTCTAGTCGAGTATACGAACAACGGTGTGACAGTGAGGGTGATGCAGGGACCGCAGTCCTGCCAGCAGCTGTGGCAGGCTTTTGGTGTTGACTCCCCCTTCTCCCCTCTCTCCCCTTCCCCCCTCCCCCCCCCCTCCCCTCTCTCCCCCTTCTCCCCCCTCTCCCCCTTCTCCCCCCTCTTCCTTTTCTCCCCCCTCTCCCCCTTCTCCTTCCCCCACAGCTCCTCTGTGTGGACTTCAACCGAACGTGGCTAGACATAGAAAAAACCCGCGTGGCATGCCAAGTCTCCGCCCTGATCATCCCAGCCACACCACCTTCGAGCCCTCAACCACCAGCTCCCCTAGTCGACTACATGAACAACGGCGTGTTCATGAAGGTGCTACAGGGCCCGCAGTCCTGCCAGCAGCTGTGGCAGGCGTTTGGCATCCCCTCCCCGACAAGATTTTTCCAGATGAACCCCGGCCTCTCGTGCGACTCCTTGCTGCCGTACAGCCCGCTGCAGGGAAATATGATGAGTAAGGTGAGCTTGGTTGCCTGTGTGCTGCCCTGCTGTCGTACAGCCCCCTGCAGGGGAATGTGATCAGTAGGGTGAGTTGGACGGCTTGTGTGCGGTGGGTGGGGGGACAAGTGGGGGGATGGGTAGTGTTTGCCATCGCCCCCCCCACGCGCTTCTTCCAGATGAACCCCGGCCTCTCGTGCGACTCCTTGCTGTCGTGCAGCCGGCTGCGAGGGAATATGATCAGTAGGGTGAGTTGGGTTGCACGGCCTGCGTGGGGGTGAGGAGGTGGGGTATGCGCTGCTGCCGCACAGCCCGCTGCAGGGGAATGTGATGAGTAAGGTGAGCTGGGTAACTGGGTTGCACGGCCTGGTGTGGAGGGGCAACTGGGGGGATGGGTAGCGTTTGCCATCGCCTCTCCCACGCGCTTCTTCCAGATGAACCCCGGCCTCTCGTGCGACTCCTTGCTGCCATACAGCCCCCTGCAGGGGAATGTGATGAGTAAGGTGAGTTGGGTTGCACAGCCTGTGTTTGGTGGGTGGGGGGGCAAGTGGGGGGATGGGTAGTGGAGAAAGGAACGGGGAATGGGTGAAAGGAAGCGGAGGGAGGGGGCTCTGGGCGTTTGCCATCGCCTCTCCCACGCGCTTCTTCCAGATGAACCCCGGGCTCTCGTGCGACTCCTTGCTGTCGTGCAGCCCCTTGCGGGGGAATGTGATCAGTAGGGTGAGCTGGACGGCTTGCGTGTGGGGTGGTTTTTAAGTCGACTCAAAGTCTTCCAGGTGAACCCCGGCCTCTCGTGCGACTCCTTGCTGCCATACAGCCCGCTGCAGGGAAATGTGATGAGTAAGGTGAGCTGGGTTGCACGGCCTGAGTGTGTGAAAGAGAGTGTGTGCAAGAAATTCTGGAAGAGAGTGTGTAAGAAAGTGTGCAAGTTTGTGCAATGCAAAAGACTCTGAGAGAGAGTCCAAGAGAGTGTGCAAGAGTGTGTGAGAGTGTGTGCAAGAGAGAGAGTCTGTGAGAGAGTGTGCAAGAGTGCAAAAAGGTAAGGAAATGGTCTTGGTCTCCCAGAATACCTCCTGCATCCGCCAGCCCACTGCCAAGCAGCCCACACTTGGGCTCCGCACACTAGACGTGGACAAATGACGAGTCGAATTTCACTCGACTAGTTCTGCGAGTCCTTTTCTTGGCCCAGAGTCGAGTCGAGTCCATTAAAACTTCGAGTTTTTTCGACTTAGGGGCGACTCTTAACTCAACCAAGGGGTTGAGGGTGTGAGCAGTAGATGAGTGGGCTGCAAGAAATCCGTTTCTGGTAGTAGTTTCAGGCAGTGACATGCCAGATTCTTGAGTCAAGATTCTTGAGTCAACTCAAAATTAGATTCTTGAGTCGAGATTCTTGAGTCGACTCAAAACTCGTTTCTGGGAGTAGTTTCAGGCAGTGACATGCAAGATTCTGTCAGAAACGGTGGGAGCTGGTTGCACTTATGTGCTTCACAGCCGGCTAGAATGTGTGTGCGCGCATGCATGTCCGTCCGTCCGTCCGTCTGTGTGTCGGTCCGTGTGCCTGTCTGTGTGTCTGTCTGTGCGATTGTCTGGGCGTCTGTCTCTGTGTGTATCTGTCTGTGTGTGTCTCTGTGCGTCTGTCCGTGTGTCTGTCTATGTGTTTCTGTGTGTGTGTGTCTGTCTGTGTGTTTGTCTGTGTGTCTTTCCGTGTGTTTGTCTGTGTCTGTGTGTTTGTCTGTCTGTCTGTATGTCTGTCTGGGTGTATGTACTGCATGAATGTGAACTTATGCAGGTCTTGTTCTTCCCCTTGTTGTACTGATGGTTGAGTTGACTCGCAGGTTTGTGTGGCTGCTATTGATGCCCGGCCGTTGTCTGGCATTTCATGTTCCACCAAGAGAACATACAGTGTGAAGCGAGGAGACACATGCGGCATGTTGATCGCTAAGAAATACCGCCGCAGTACTGACAAGTTTAGGGAGCTTAACAATGGATATGATTGCACTGTAAGTAGGTTGTGGATTGGCATGTTGCTTTGCTTACCTGTATAAATGGAAAACTTCGAAGGCAAATTGCTTCTCATGCCACTGTATACGCTCCCAACGAAGGTGGTCTCATGATTGTTAGTTATGGAGAATGCCCTTATGCATCTCTGAGAGTAACAGGAAGCTCACTCACTACGGTTGTTTGCTTTGGAGGATGAAGTTTGTTTTTGGTGATTGCTTTGCAGTGTATACAAATTTTAGGGCTTTTTGTCTGGGGTGTGGGCTGATTCATCAGTCTACTACCGTACCATCTGACTGCATCGAACCTGGACCCTACATGATTTGTTGTGAGGATTATACAAAACTTCCACCTTCAATCAAAACATCCTCTGGGGACACTCATGGATCAGGGTGACTCAAACCAAACTGAACCCAGACTGAAAGCTTATGGACCAATTCAATCTTCTTCAACATGTCATATTGGAAAAATGCAACTTCACCTCGACCCCACTGTTAGCTTCATGCCATGCTTGCCACAGTCCTTCCCAACCGTGCTAACAAACAGCTGCCGTGCTCCAACAGTGAAAGACTTTCTAGCCTTGCGCGTGGGCTTCACGTGCACCTTGGAAACTGCCTTGATATCACAGGCATCAAAAGCAGCAGTGCTTGATACCTCCGCCAGGTGGTGCCTGCGGCCAAAGGTAGGGCCCAAGAAGCGACCACCCCACTGAAAGACTGTAGGCAGACGGGTTCATATGAGAGAGCGAGAGAGAGAGAGAGAGATTTGTATATGAGAGAGAGAGAGAGAGAGAGAGGCATTTTGAGTCGACTCAAAGCAGTGCTTGATACCTCCGCCAGGCTGTGCCTGCGGCCAAAGGTAGAGCCCAAGAAGCGACCACCCCACTGAAAGACTGTAGGCAGACGGGGTCAAGAGACGGATGTGAGTGAGAGATGCAGGAAGGAGACATGCACCAGGAGGAACAAAGCTGGGTTAGAGAGTGGATTTTTTAGTCGAATCAAAAATCGGATATGAGTGAGAGATGGAGGAAGGAGACATGCACCCGGAAGAAGAAAGCTGGGTTAGAGAGTGCCAAATCTCTGTTGCATGTAGCAGACAGTGTTCTTGGTGAAGGTAGCAGCAACCAGTTGCAGGTGATCAAGCAAGCAAGAGATAGTCCCAAGGTGTGATGTAGGAAGAAAAACGCATGATTGCAACGGGTGGCAAAAGGTCACTTGGGTTAAGCAGCGAGTAAGGATCGATGGGAGAATACAAGATTCAAAAAAGCCTCTTAGTGCCTGATGCCTGGAAGACAACACGCACCTACTACACACACCCTTATGCATGTAAGACAACACGCACCTACTACACACACCCTTATGCATGTAAGACAACACGCACCTACTACACACACCCTTATGCATGTAAGACAACACGCACCTACTACACACACCCTTATGCATGTAAGACAACACGCACCTACTACACACACCCTTATGCATGTAAGACAACACGCACCTACTACACACACCCTTATGCATGTAAGACAACACGCACCTACTACACACACCCTTATGCATGTAAGACAACACGCACCTACTACACACACCCTTATGCATGTAAGACAACACGCACCTACTACACACACCCTTATGCATGTAAGACAACACGCACCTACTACACACACCCTTATGCATGTAAGACAACACGCACCTACTACACACACCCTTATGCATGTAAGACAACACGCACCTACTACACACACCCTTATGCATGTAAGACAACACGCACCTACTACACACACCCTTATGCATGTAAGACAACACGCACCTACTACACACACCCTTATGCATGTAAGACAACACGCACCTACTACACACACCCTTATGTGAGAAGAAAAGTTAGAAGAGAAGTTGATGGATTGATTGAAAGGATGGGGGGTTTACATAGGAGATGAGTTGGAAACTAGCCTAGGTGAACATTATTGGACCCCAACCAAGGAGTTGGGTTGGGAGATTATTGGTGGGGTCCAATAATGTTGGCCAAGTTGGAGTTGGGCCAACATTATTGGAGGGGACCAATAATTCTACCCATCCCAACCCTTGGGGTCCAATAATTGGACCAAGGTTGGGTTTCCAACCTACAAATTGGGTAACCCCTGCTTGTACACCCAAACTAAGTTTGGGTGCTTATCTCTAGCCTATCCTATAGCATATATGCAGGTTACAAGAGAGGAGATATTCTAACACAACCCCTTAACCTGCAGAGATGCGGAAAGGCTGGAGAGAAGCAACCCCTGAATCAAGGCGCGCCTGGGGGAGCGAGGCCAATGAGGCGGAGGAGAGCAGAGTGCGCGGGGCGAAGAAGTGCTTTGGTGAAGATATCCGCCAAATTGGCTTCAGTGGCGATCTTGCGGACGGCGATAAGATTCTGTCGGACGAGGTCGCGGATGAAGAAATAACGGAGCTCGATATGCTTGGAGCGACCATGAAAGACTGGATCCTGGGTGAGGTGGATGGTGCTGGCGTTGTCACACCAGAGCGTGGGACAGCGCTGGGGGGCACCAAGCTCTGCCAGAAGAAAGCAGAGCCAGCGGGACTCTTGAGCGGCCATGGTGCCCGCATAGAGCTCAGCTTCGCAGGAAGAGAGAGCGATGGCTGAGGAGCGGGTGGAACGCCAGCTGATAAGTCCGCTGCCGAGGGTAAAGCCATAGCCTTGGGAGGAGCGGCGGTCTGGCTGATTGTCTGCCCAAGAGGAGTCACTGAAGCCCGAGAGAAG